GTTCTCATACCCGGGCGTGTGCAAGGGCACTTTTAGACTCATGCTCCCGCTGGACGATGTCCCCTTGGGTCTGCAAGTGCCGCCCACGCTTCCCATCCAGTCCGCTGGCCTTCTGTGCGCTGCCCTCTTCGGGCGGCTGCTACCACCTCTGGTTGGGATCTTAGCGCGGTGGTGGTTTATTGGCTGAGAGGTCCACAGAAAAAGGACTTTTATTTCCCGGTGCGCCTGTGGCGCCACGCCCATTTCGACGCGTGGGACACGAGGGCCAAGGTTCTCATCCACCACTTGGTGGCCCAAGAGACGAACGATAAGACCCTGCCCGACGGACGCCGCATGGTTTCGGCTAGGAGACCCGGCCTAGGGGCCAGCAACGCTGGAGAGACGAAGCGGAGGCCTTCATTGAACGGGGTGGAATCGGCCCAGGCATTCAAATCCCGTTCATCTCTACTGAGCTGATGCCGCATCTCCATGAGCCGGATCAAGATACACACCGATATGGTTTTTACCGCCTACAGGAGCTGTATGAGCAGCGCAATTACCAAATGTTATACCTGTTGCGCGAATCCCACTTTCCGACCAGCGGCAACGACATGCAGCGCCTGCTGGATTCTTGGCCGTGGCCTTCGACACTGGATTGTACCCAGTGACGGTGTAGGCCGTCGCATTCCAGAAGACTAGAGCCATCTATGACCAGCGACATACGTCGTAGGGTCCATTTCCTGGCTCTTGCCGCTGGTTGTGGATTCCACCGTGGACTTGTGGACTTTGTGTGCACGATCGCGACACAACAGGACCCCGGGGCTGACCGTTGTTCGACGGAACTAGAACGGCGGCCGGAGCTCCGACTTTGGGCTCCACCGGTGGTCTTGGACAGCTCTAGGCGACGGCCTTTTGCTGTTGTGGATCGGCTCGTGCTGAACGGCCAACACCGGCAATGCCTGTGCGCCGCAGCTAGCTCTTTGCATCTTTTTATCGAGCCCCCCTGTTTCACCGCTGTTTTTGTTCGTTTGTTGGTTTGTCTTGTTTGTAGGGACCGGGTGCTACAGCCGTAGTCGACGAGGCCCGCCCACGCCAAAAAAAAAAAGGGGCTTCGCTTGAACGCTTGAATGCGGCCTGTGTGTCTCTGAATTTTCAGGTTTCTGCTTCTGTTTTATTCGTTTTTTAACACCCTTCAGCGATTTCGTGTCGAATAAGGTCCTCCTTCAGGTCTATTCCTCAGGCCTCCTTTAAGCCTTTCTTCAAACCAATCCTAGGCCTGCCTTGAAGCCTTCCTGGGTTTAACCTGGGTTTAACGGTGAAACCTGGGTGCTTATTTAAACTGGGTTCCAAACCTGGGTTAGAACCTGGGTTTCAAACCTGGGTTGAAACCTGGGTTAGAACCTGGGTTTCAAACCTGGGTTTGGAACCTGGGTTTAAGCTGGGTTTGAACCTGGATTTTAACTTGGGTTTAACGTGGGTTCATTAAACCCGGGTTCCAAACCTGGGTTAGAACCTGCTTTTCAAACCTGGGTTCAAACCTGGGTATAACCTGTTTTAAACCTGGGTTTAACCCGGAGTTGAAACCAGGTTCGAACCCTGGTTAAACCCAGGTTAAAACCCAGGTTCAAACCCAGGTTAAACCCAGGTTTCAAACCTGGGTTCCCGGGGTTGTTGTTGTCCCCTCCCGGGGGGAGGGAACCCAGGTTCAAACCCAGGTACAAATCTAGGTTAAACCACCGGGGGAGGGGGGACCAGCCTCTCCACACATTGGGGGATGTAAAGGAACAGCAAAGGAGAGCAATGAAATTCACAGCAGCACTGCAAGTGCAAAGCCAGGAGGCTCCATCAGAAATCCAGAAAGGCTGAAGTGCAGCCGTCTGGAACAGCGTCATTGATTTTGTTTGGTTTCAGTGGTTTGCTTTGCCGGATAAAGAGAATTTCGTTTCTGGACAGACAGTTCGGAGGTTTGGCGAGGATGCCACGTCCTGTGCACGTGCTTCCTTGCTGGGCCACTGATTGGACGGGTCCCATGCTGCTAAGCAGAGCTGGACCTGTGAAGATAATGCATGATTGATGGAAGATGTGCACCCTGGGCATCAGTGGGGCTGCGGCAACAACTCAACAAAAACTTGTCAACCTTGTGACCTCCGCTGGGCCTTCAAAGGTCACAAAATGCAGGTGACAACAGTGACAAGATTTTAGACTCTCAGAAGCTCCTCCTCGTTGATTTTCTCATCTCCGTTTGTCTCCGTCTTCTGTCTGCAGCTTGTCTCAGCTTTCGGCATCAACCAGAGAAGAGCACCAGAAGCAGCAAAAATTGGGAGCATGCACGACCAAGTGCATGTCACCTTCTGCACAACCGGTTCTTCCTCGGTAGTTTGCCACTGTGAATTGCAAAGGTCAAACTCGGACGTACATGCCTTTAGAATCAGATCCAAGGTAGGAGCTTCAAGAGAGCGTGTTTTTGCACTTTCGTTCCGCGTCTCTCGCAGAAGTTTAAGTCTGTGTTTGTTGCAGCACTTCGTGGCACTCTTTTCTCGTCTATTGCAGCAGTTTCGTTCCGTCTGTTGCAGCAGTTTCGTTCTCGCATCTGTTGCAGCTTCCGCGTCTTTCGTTCCGCCTCTGTTATGGCCCGTTCGCAAACCGAGATGGCTCGTGCAGCTGGAAAAAGAAGTCAAAAAGAACGAAGTTTTGCACAAAGGCAAAACAAGATCTAGTTTTGTGTGGAGAATGAGCCCTGCAAAACAAATTAATCTTCTTACAACATAAATTGAGGCACGCATGTGAACAAGTGTCCTCGAGTTGGTGAAATTTGATCCGGACATTTCTGCTTTAGAGAGAGTGGGTGACCCTTCCCCGCTCGCCCGAGACCCTGTTTTCGGAAGGAAGGTGCCACTAAGTTATCTTCTCACCTGTTTATCATACTTTAAACCGTTGCCCTGGCCAACGTGGGCACTCGTCTCCCCAGTGAAAAAAGAGTGGCACGTCTTCACTTGCAGGATATGGAAGTATTGTTGATTGTGAATGTTGTTCGAGATATTCGGAAGATATTAGATTATGAATGTCACCTGTCAATGGTTTCAATGGGTCAATGCCTGGTGTTTTGCACAAAGGGAACATGCTGCTGCTGCTGTAATGCTACTGTTACTGCTGCGAGGATTGCATGGTTTATCTCGGTGGCAGCCGTGATTCGAGTGTGTTATTGTTCTGTTTTGATCGTTTGTTCTTTTGTGTTGATTTCTTTGTGTTTTTGGGCTGATTCCTTGTTGTATTTTGATCCGGCCGCCTAGCCTCGCTTTCATGCGTGATTGGTCGAGCTTTAGTTTGTCTCGCGGTCAGGGCTTGCAGCATACTCTGAAATCAGTTGATACAAGAAGCTCATTGCAGTTCACCCATCCGTTGTAGATCAACTTGTCTGATGGGCACCCTTAGTTGTGTAGTCCTGTGTGGCTTGTAGGCGTGAACCCTTTCGAGGCAGACATTTAGATATCACCATGGCTTCACACCTGGGCCCACATCTTTGCATCGACACTTGGCTTCACCCGACATAGATTTCGGTGCGAACTGGACGCTTCCCACGGCTGCTCATGGAGACGCTTCGCAGCTTCTTCGGCGGGGAGCTTACGAAGTGCTGGGGCCATGCAGCTGTCGATAAAACAGGCCTGAGCTTGCGTGAAGCGTTTTCATGAACATCGTGGGGTTGACGTGACGATTGCTTCAATTGGATGCCCTGCAGCCACAAAGATCGAGTGCGGTGGATGCATTCTCAAAGGGAACTGCCGTTTGTGCCCGATGGTTTACTTGGCCTGGTCCCCTGTGTTAAAAAGCGGGCCTGGGTTAGCTCAGAGGGAGGAAAGGATTGCAAGAGGAAAGGATTGCACGCAGCTCTTGAACTTTCCGGTGCCAGCTGATTCGGAAGTTTTGGGTACTACCCGGCCGAAGTTGCAATGCCAAGCTTGAGTGTTTCATTCGTCTGAAATCGTCCCCCAACCAAAACCTTGTGTCGTAAACGGCCATGGCCAAACCCCCCGATTCACGACGTCACAGGGAAGATTCATGATTAGTCACTTGGAACGCTTCAGGGCAGCGGCGAACTTCCCACTCATGCGTGTCATTCATGCACATGGTTTCAGTCCACCATCGCCAACAACAAGCCGGCCAATCTGCGGCCAAAGCACCTACAGAGGCAGGATCGAGACTGTGTCGTAGCAGTTGCTGGTATGCATAAGTGGTAAGGGCCTGATCCAGGCGTGTTTGAGAAGGTCTTGTCGGTCGGTGACTCTTAGATTCTAAAGTTCAAAGACAGGATAGCGGCAGTTTCCGTTCCTCGTTTAAGTTTAAATGCTTCGGAAAGGCCAAGCATTCAGCTCGACCTGCCCCTCGTTTGGCCATCGTCTCGTGCTGGCACACCAACGGCGTCGTGGTCTCAGAGGATGCGAATGTTCTATTCTTCACGCGCGTGGACAGCCAATACATGTCCAAGTGTTTTTGACAAAGATCCAAAGCCTGTGCTGCTGGCCCTTGCAGATCCACCCGCTCATCGCCCTGCTCGAGTATCAGCCTTTCGCCCAAGGCCTTACTAATGTCGTGGTATCACATCCGGGAGTAAAGCTGGCGTGCACACTTGCACAAAGCAGGCGACGCCTGAGAATCTCGAGGGGCTGAGGCAGAAGGCGGCGGTTCTGCTTGGGCTCTGATGGCTGGATGGCTATGGTGTGTATCTCCTGAGGTCCTGCAGGCAAGCTTCTTCCTGGCGGACAAGGCAGGCGCAGCTTTGAGACAAGATTGCCAAAGCGGGTGCAGGATGTCGATGGGCGTTCGCGGAAGGTTCTTAGTGGGCCCACTCTGAATTGATGCGTGAGCCACCTCTCAGGGACCGAGGCATAAAAGAGAGAGGTCGAGCTTTCGAGAGACCTGGAGATGCTCATGAATGCTGACGGGATCATCCATCCAAAGTCTACGTACGTTGCATAATGCCAAAACTGCAGCATCGGAAGTGAAAGTTTTTCGGATGTTGAGCAATGCAGAAAGCATCCTGCCTGCAGGACCGCGACAATCAGTTGAGCAAAGCAGCAGTTCGGCAGCACTTGGCTGCTGTGAGCGTCCGACCCGGCCTCCGAGCGTCCGGGTCCAGTTCTTATGTCCGTGATTTGAAGCCCGGTCTCCTGGTGTGTTCAGGAGTTTTCCTTGATGGTCCGCCGGGCATACCCTCACTTCAAGCAAATCGCGATCGAGAGGGCCGGGGCCCAAGCATGCTCCACACTTTCGATTCATTTGGAACTGCTCTGGGCACTCCATCAGAGAGCTTGATTCAGAGGCTTTTCTCCTCGCCAGACTTGGAACTGGCACTTCCGTCAGCTTCAAAGCATTTGCGCGGGCCCTGGAAAGGGTTTGCAAATTGCAGGCAGCTGCTGACAGCAGTGTTGCATGTTCACCTCAGTTTCCTTGATGTTCTGCAGCCTTCCGCAAACATCCAGTGCAAACCAAGCATGACCCAACAATCGTGGCTTCTGAGTGCACAAGGTAGAGTGGGCACGAAAGGATCACAAAGAGGAGGCGCGCACGTGCTTCTCAGGTTGACTTCAAATTAGTAGTTCTACAAGTCGATCGGTAGGGCATGCCGTGAATGTGACTAGTCTTAACTGTAAGCCGTCGTTAGTTACTGTACCAAGTCTCTACACGAGCAGAAATCAGCAACCACTTCAGCTTGGTTTTGTTGATTCGACTTGCGTGAGCCCACAACCCCGGGGTCCGGGTTATTCTACGTGATCTCTCCCTTGCATCCAATCCAGGGGGACGATGACACAGAGGACTCCGAACCCCTGTGACGGCCCCAGCAGTACTTCGGGACGTTAGTAGAGTTGGGGTGGCGATTCGAGACCTGCTTGAAGACTGAGATGCGCAAGTTTCTGTTCGTAACACGGACGGTAACCGGTCTGCATGGGCGTGATAGTTGGCGGCGATCGCGCTTCAGGTGGGCAGTGTTCCGCCTGTGGGATCTTGACGAGGACACGGGCTTCAGAGGCTCTGAGGTTACAGAGGCACAGTTTTGCCGCAAGGATGAGGCAATTAGCCCCGCAGAGTTGGAATACGGTATCAAGAAGGCGCGGCTCAACAACTGCGTTCTGAGAAAGCAGGTCTTGATGTCTTGTGGCGCATTACAATCAATGATGGAAACCTCTGTTGGCCAACTTGAGGGATCATCTGCTACTGGTGTGCAGTGCCGTGTAGGCCTTCCCGAAAACCGGAAAGGAGGACTTGGAATGTGCGAGTAGCATGTCTGGTGGCAGTTAAGCTCGGAAGTCGGCGTTGGTCGGTGGATTCGGAGTGTTCGAGAGCATGCCACAGCAGATCATACCAAGTTTCGCTCACCTTGCATGCTCGTGGCAACACAAAACAGGTGGTCCTACCAGTACGAATTCGGTACTTGATCAAAAGTCCCCTGTCTTGCTGCGAGGAGCTATTGCGTCTGTTAAGTGCCATGATGGGTGAAACTCGGCCAGAGATTCGCCTGTGGAATCTTCGAGTCTGGTTGTCTCGAGATGCAAGCTCTCCCACAACTGTTTCAATGCCTCGACGCAGCGAAGACGGTACATATGTCACACGCATTCTCTTCAAAGCCTTCAGCATGCGTTCCATCAATGCAGCCAATGCAACCCCCACGAAGACGCTGGGGCTTCTGAATGCTAAGGATAGAGAAAACGTCGGTGGACTCCTGAGTTGTAGGGTTGGATCAGGAACTATTTCCAAAGAAATGTTGAATCATCCCTGAAGTGACTTCAGCAGCTTAGGTCTGGCAGCACCTTTGCCCACGCTCCGAAACGGGAACGCCCCATCAAGTGGGCGCGACCGTAGAGAGACGCTGCAAGGCCAAGGCAAGAGCCTGGTCCCGAGAGCCTGCACGTGCTGTTCGCCGTGTAGAGCCGTGACTTTGGCATTGAGGCGGGGTGACTTACCTCGACTTTGTGAACTTCGTCTTTCCACCGGGGAAGGCATGGCAGCATGGCAGCCTTTCAGACGCTGTACGCTTCTGCAGAGGCCGACCTGGCGGCCCAAGTCAGCGCACGCCAGAACCTCTGGTAGTCCATGCGCTGGCGAGCTTTTTCAGTGTGCTGCGCTGGTCACTGCGGTGCCAAGGAGTCATGGGTGGCTAATGGGGAGCGTTCCCGACATGGCCTCCATTGCTGATGGGAGGCATATCTCCACTTAGAAGAGGAACTAAGAACAGTTTTCGCGCCTCGCTTTGGCTCTTTGGCCAGCGAGAGACTTTAGGACTTTAGGATGCTTCGTGCCTGTCGAAGGCAGGGCATGAAGCTGGTTGCAAGTTTTAGACAGGGTCCCCATACTGCCATGCTGTGGTGCTCATTCAAGCAAGTGGGTTTTCCGGCAGGTGCGTTGGGAGCACATGTCGTGCTGTGACAGCCGATATCCCACGCACCGAGTACCGACAGCTTAAAAGCAGAGCGACCCGTGTTGGAACTCCGCCTCACAAGGCCAAGGCCCCATGAAGGCCGTGCCGTCTGCATGGCCTTGCCCCATAAGTTAGGGCAAGACCGGGCGTGGAAGCCCGCCAAGTTTGTCACATGTTTTCCGGAGGTCCGTGGTGTCGGACTTGTCGAGGGCAGAAGTGAGAACTGTTTCGAAGATCCCATCTAGAGTCGAGAGCGAAGAAACTTCGAGTGCAGCAGTTTGCAGGCACCTCAAGTCAACTTCTGGACCGTGCACGACATGACTTGACTCCTTTAAGTCATTAAGCTTTCGTTGTCGTTCAGCCCGAGCACTTTTCCCGATGTCCGCACCAAACAGGTTCGGGACCGCAAGGGGCCGAACAAGAGACATGTTTGAAGTCCACTAGAAAGTCCTCGCAACTCTTTGTCGGACTCCTTCCGGAAGGGGTTGGCAATGAAAATTTGGGTTTCGTGTTCGACAGATCCAACATGGGTTCGGGGCACATGTAGTTAGGTAGTGATGCAAAGAATGAGACTGGAATGGTATGCGATGGGATTATGCAGCTTCCGATGCTCAGACAAGGGTTGGGCCCAGTTGGGTCGTCACTGGACCTAGGTATGGTCAGGCCCCAAAGAAGCTCCGCAACTAGAGGCAGAATTTCCAAGCATTTCTGCTAGCATCTTACGGAGTGGCCTGGGCTGGCCATTCTATGTCCAGCTGAGAGGACATATGAGGTTGTCAAGCGTCAAGTTGCCAAGCCTGAACGCCTGCAAGACTGGGTTGTCAGATTGTGCAGGCCAGAAGTACAAGGTGTAGAATGAGGAGTGAGGCTACCGAGTGATTTAGGGTTGAATCTGTCTAGCTACGTGAGATGATTGTTCCTGCAGTGGATGGGGCCAAGCACGCTGTACCCCAATCATGTGGTGAAGATGGCGGAGAGCTTGATAACGGTAGCTTTCATCGGTCGTCGCTGACAGCATGTTTTCCCGCTGAACCTGTGGCATCAATACATAGGAGCAAAAAGGAGCATATGCCCAAGCTTCACCCTGGAAGGCTTCGACTCGAGTGAACTGGACCTGCATTCGTCTCTTCGACCCAAATCATGTTGCGTCGGCACTGTGCCCAGGCGGCACCGGAGGCTCCGGTGGCCTCGAGGCACCTTGGAGCACTTCGCATGTGATTATGCCTGCGGTGTTGCCGTGGCCGCTTGCAGGCCTTTGGCGAGTCGATCCGAGTCCTTCTGGCTTGTTTTGGATCACAGATGATCGAGCATATCGCTCGTCCAAAAATTTGGCGCCTCCCAAGGACCAGGCGTCGCAGCTCCTTGGCACCTCCAATGACTGCCCCGCTCAGAGGTGCGCACAGGAAGGCTAGCAGATTGTAGATCCGAGCCCATGACCAGAAAATCTCTCTCTGCCAAGGCGTGGACGAGTCACTGGGGATCACAAGTGGCTCGTCATTGCTTCTTTTTGGCTCCCTCCTGTCCACGGTTCTCTGAACATTCTCTGCAGTTGCACGAGGTTGGTTGGAATCCTTCTCTTGCTTCTTGTACGCAGCTTCGTTGCCCAAGTATGTCAGCTCAGGCAACCCCTGCGCATCGAGACAAACCTAAATAGCTGAAGACACAACCTTTCAAGACCCCCGAAGCAAAGCTGGACCACGGACGCGAAACCTGTGACATAAGCAGCCACACGACCACACAGTGCAGAGCAAAGCTTGAGACTTCACACTGATCCGCTTTCGCCATATCTGCCAATACAGGCAGAACGCCTGCTATGGACGAGTGCCGGGACGGAGATTGGACCACCATATCATAAGTACTTAGCAAGATTTCATAGAGCTCACGACTCGTGGCCAGGGTTGGCTGAGCAGGTGAAGGGCTGCAGTTGCCAAGCAGGGGTGAGAGTCCAACCACACATGACGAGAGTCTCGACTCGACAGCTCCACCCACGAGGAACGGATCTGTCGAAAAACTCCAGGAGATCGTGCGGGCCGTGAAGGCCTGCACGACCCTTGCGAGAGGGCTTTGGAAAGAGATCAGGCATCAGAGCTTCAAGCAGTCGGAATTATTCTCGAAATGTGGCCGATCTGGGTCAGGCCGCTAAGCCCTTGCCATGCAAGCCACACTGCCAGGCAAAAGCCCCGCTGGTACAATGCCTCACGAACTTCGCTGCTTGACCGGGAAACCGTGAAGCTTCGGAGTCATTTCGCCACTTCACTGGGGACCTGGCAGTGCTGTGTTTCATCTCCGTCTGCCAAGTAAAGCATGGTTGCACCATTCGTAATGCTACTCAAACGGTCATGACGAGTTTTGTTGTCGCCGTTGCTGCTGCTGCTGTTGCTGCTGAGCGCGTTGTTCCTTACTTACCACGAAGCTTCTGATACTTTCTTCAGTGCGCCGGCCGCATGTACTGCGCTTATTGCTTGTACTTGGGACTACTTGTCATTTTAGCCCTCCTTTCGAGGCCTTGCCAGAAAGGGGTTAGCGAAGAGTAACAGTCTCGACCATACGAAGTGTACATATTCACGCGACTTTCAGGACGGTCAATTGCTTCCGCAGGGAGGTATTTGCTCAAGACATTTCGTTGTTCCAAACCTTCGCTGTGCTTTGTTTCCAGGCATTCTTCCGTACCTCCCTGAGGTGTCCATGGACTTCATGGCCAACGGTCTCCTCGCACTCGGGGCCTCACCTGCCATGGTCCATGCAGTGGAGGAGCTCGAGTCAGCGCCCTGCCCTTGCTTGCTCCCCAAACTCCAAACCAGAACATGGACGGCGTTTTTCCCGAAAGCATCGCGAAGGGTTCTTCCGTGCGGAGCCCTCGAGAGAAGTACATAGATGACAGACATAGAATCGAGTACATAGCTAACATGCATCGAGTTTAGTACATAGAGTCGAGTACATAGATGACTTACCAGGACTCTAACTCTATGTACTGTATGCTATGACTCTATGTATTTGACTCTATGCATTTGACTCTATGCACTTGACTCTATGACTCTATGACACTATGACTCTATGACTCTACATCTCGGTATATAATCTCTCTTCTAAAGCCAGGGGCACCGTCGTCATCGATCAGGAATGCAACCCTTCACAGGGATTGGCCTGGTCGAGTGCCCAAACGCTAGGTAGAGTTACACATTTTAGGCGCCGCGCGCAGCCCTTCACAGGGATTGGCCTGGTCGAGCGCCCAAACGCTAGGTAAAGTAACACATTTTTGCACATTTTAGGCGCCGTGCGCAACCCTTCACAGGGATGGGCTTGGTCGAGTGCCCAAACGCTAGGTAGGGTTACACATTTTAGGCGCCGCGCGCAACCCTTCACAGGGATTGGCTTGGCCGAGCGCCCAAACGCTAGGTAGAGTTACACATTTTAAGCGCCCCGCGCAACCCTTCACAGGGATTGGCTTGGTCGAGCGCCCAAACGCGAGGTAAAGTTGCACATTTTGCGGTCGACGCGCAACCCTTTGCATGGATTGGCTTGGTCGAGCGCCCAAACGCTAGGTAAAGTTACACATTTTGCGGTCGACGCGCAACCATTTGCATGGATTGGCTTGGTCGAGCGCCCAAACGCTAGGTAAAGTTACGCATTTTGCGGTCGACGTGCAACCTTTTGCGTGGATTGGCGTGGTCGAGTGCACGAACTTGCAACCCTTCACAGGGATTGGCGTGATCGAGTGCGCGAACGCGAGGTAAAGCTGCTACTTTGAAGCACTTTTGCAACTCTTCACAGGGATTGGCACTTTGCAACCCTTCACAAGGATTGGCATGGTCGAATGCACGAACGCCAGTTAAAGTTGTTACTTTTGATGTGCATTGAAATGAATTTTGCAACCCTTCACAAGGATTAAATTGGTGTGGTCGAACGCACGAACGAGGTAAAGTTACTACTTTTTGATGTGCATTGAAGTGAAATTTGCAACCCTTCACAGAGATTGGCGTGGTCGAGTGTTCGAACGCGAGGTAAAGTTAACACTTTTGTTGCGCATGAAGGTGTAGCAGTAATGGTAGTAATAGTAGTCATAGTAGTATAGTAGTAATAGTAGTAATAGTAGTAATAGTAGTAATAGTAGTAATAGTAGTAGTAGTAGTAATAGCAATAATAGTAGGAATAGTAATAGTAATAGTAGTAATAGTAGGAATAGTCGTATTAGTACTAATAGTAGTAATAGTAGTAATAGTAGTAATAGTAGTAATAGTAGTAATAGTAGTAATAGTAGTAATAGTAGTAATAGTCGTAATAGTCGTAATGCTAGTAATAGTAGTAATGGTAGTAATAGTAGTAATAGTAGTAATAGTAGTAATAGTAGTAATAATAGTAATAGTAGTAATAGTAGGAATAGTCGTATTAGTAGTAATAGTAGTAATAGTCGTATTAGTAGTAATAGTAGTAATAGTAATAATAGTAGTAATAGTAATAATAGTAGTAATAGTAGTAATAGTAGTAATAGTAGTAATAGTAGTAATAGTAGTAATAGTAGTAATAGTAGTAATAGTAGTAATAGTAGTAATAGTAGCAATAGTAGTAATAGTAGTAATAGTAGTAATAGTAGTAATAGTAGTAATCGTAGTAATAGTAGTAATAGTAGTAATAGTAGTAATAGTAGTAGTAATAATAGATTGAAACCCAGAAGCACTAAACCCAGAACCCTTTGAAACCAGAAGCCCTAAACCGCAGTGCTAAACCCAGAACCCCTGGAACCAAAAACTCCTAAACCCAGAAGATCCCAGAAGCCCTGCACCCAGAAACTTTGAAACCCAGAAGCAAGACGGAAAAGAGGGTTCAACAAAAAAGGAAGCACTAAACCCAGAACCCTTTGAAACCAGAAGCCCTAAACCGCAGTGCTAAACCCAGAACCCCTGGAACCAAAAACCTCTAAACCCAGAAGCCCTGCACCCAGAAACTTTGAAACCCAGAAGCAGTAAACCCAGAACCCTTTGAAACCAGAAGCCGTAAACCGCAGTGCTGCTAAACCCAGAACCCCTGGAACCAAAAACCCTTAGTCCCGACACAAGCTGACGGGATTTCAAACACATCGATCACTATGTACTTCATAAGTAGATGCACTTCACTCTATGACTCTATGGCTCTATGCACTGGATTCTATAACATAGCGCAAAACTCTTCGCTAATGATGCTTTCGGGCCAATTGTCTTCTAGTTTGTCTTCAGTGAGTCCTCGCAGCTCGGTAAGTTTTTCTTTTTGCTTATCTGCGATGAAATGTGCAGTCACCCTAGACCCTACCCAAATTTTTTCTCGAGCCCCCACACCAATACTCTGGTACACAAGCGCTTGCGGGACACTTCAGCCTACTTACTCTATGCGGCAGTGGTGTAGCCTCCTAAAATTTTCCAATCCTTTGTGCAGCTCTCCTCAGCCTCTGATATCAGATGGCTGCAATCCTTTCCGGAAGTTGAGCAACGCACGGTGCCTTATGGAGCTGCGTATCAGTGAGTGCGTGAGTGCAGTCACTCCTACTCATTGGTGTTGAAAGCTAGAAAGCATAGCGTCTTCAACTTCAGATGCGTGTGTCCGCACCACTTGAGAACTTGACAACTTCTCTGAGGCAATCGAAGTCGTTGCGGCGATAAAGGGCGCAGTCTCTATCAACATTGGAACGCTGGATCCAACTTGGAGTCATGGCTTTACAAGGCTTTGGAATATCGCAAGCGATCTACCCGTGGCCAACACAGCACGGGTACCTCATTCCTGAGCGGACCTGGCTCTTCAATTCAAAGGCTGCTTTAGAATCTGCTTTTCTGCACCGTGAACTTGATTTCTCCCAAGGATAGAGTCCTTCAAGTTTGCAGCAAGGCCAGTGCCAGTGCTGCTTGTGTAGCATGGCCCATGTCTGCAGATGGAGCGTACCGTCGATACGGGCTTGCGAGGACCTGCAAGGCCAAGGGAGTGCCGTGGGTCCTGGACCCGGTGGCTGCAGGATTCACACCCCTCAGGCGCGTAGGCGTCCCAAGGGCCGAAAGGCGATGTACTGCTGCTACTGTGCGCAGCGTGACCTGGTGCAGGACTACCACGGCCACGGAGCTCTTAGACATCGGAGGGTGCAGCCGCGGAAAAGTTCGCTTGTTTGGTTCAAAGTTCAAGGGTCTTTTGCTAAGGCTTCGACTGCGCGGCCTTGCAGCACAGGGTTTAGCCATTCTTCATGTGGGCTGGCATGGATGCTGGTGCAAACAGGAAGGTTTTCAACTAGGTTTCAACAGAATGGTCAGCAGAAGACTCCGCGGCTGTTTAATCTGCCAGAGAGTCTGCGAGGTGCTCGGTGCTCCGTGGCAACGCTTCGGAGATCCTAGCCGTCGCCGGTGCAGCGGGAGACACCAAGGGCGTGGACTCCTCACAAGGCGGGGTCCTTCGCCCAAGGGGTTGAGGTGAACGTGAGCATCGGCAGGCTCGGGTGCCGCTCTGAAGGCTGCCAAGAGCTTGGCGGCCAAGTACAACTGCGCCGCTTGGATGCCTCTGATGGTTGGTGTGAGGAAGCAGCCTGCAGGCTGCCTCTTGCCTCCTCTCACATGCATGAGGTCGTCTGCATCTCTGGTGCCGTTGACTTCGTGGCCGCTCAGACCGCTCGAAGTGATCCTCACCCAGCTTCCTTCGCCCGAATTCAACAGAGGTCAATCCCACCGGACAAGTCTCGAGTTGCGAGCATGGGGTAGAGTGGCGTGTCTGCAATTCGCCAAGCTTTTTCTTTGTTTGGCTTGGTGGCCTTGTTTCGGGCACACTGCTCAATGCAGGGTTCCTGCTTCACTCCCGAGCTACACCCGAAGTTTCAGAGCTTGGCAGGATGGTTTGCGATCAGTTCTTTCGTGTGCTCAGCAAACCAGGTTTCCAGACTTTGACTGCGAGCGATCTGACTCGAACAGCCAGCTTCCAGCCCGCCAGGATGCTGACGAAGATCACGGCCGCCGGCTGCCTCGAACCTTGGCATGCACTAAAGAATGCAGCCTGGAAATGGAGTTCCTTGGCACGTTCATTCTGTCTTCCGGTGAGGTCTCTTCGATCATCGCAGCCTTCCTGGCGGCCAAGCCAAGCGCCCGAATCCGAGAAAACCCTGAGCTCTGCTCTGATCCCTTCATTGCCAGCATGGCACATCTGACGCCTGAACAAGATGGGACACGTGAAGGACAAAGCTCGGCAGCTAGGAGCGTCACACCGAATCCGCACTGACCTCCTTTCCAGAGTTTCCATGGGGCCGAGGGCTTTGCGGACGCGGAGGCAGCTCTGTACGCGTTGCCGGGCGGCAACGTAGCAAGGGAACGAATGACCAACCTTGAGGTTTCGGAGAAGTCTTTTGATCTCTGGCTCTGAGCCATTGCCTCTTATTCCCAGTCGAGCGCCCATCTTGTTTGGGGATCCCCGTTCCATGCACCTGTTCGGCTTGCAGGTTCATCTACTTCGGCATTTGCTCAGAGGCTGCATGGCATGGAGTGGCTTTGAGTGCCTTTTCAACCCCAGACAAGGAGGGGGGTCACATTCCCGCGAAAGAGTCTGCCTCGGCCGAGGCAGCGAGTCAGACCAGCAAAGGGCCGGGTTCGCTCAGGCTGAACTTGCTCCTTGGCACGGAGATGAAAAAGGCAGAGCAGCAGAGAGGGGCCTCTCTTTGGCAGCTAGCGGCACTCTTGCTACTCTTGCTCTTCACAGGCTTGACCAGCTGTACAATTTTGACCTGGAGCAGTTGGGTGACGATGATTGAGCCGCTGCCACTGCAGTCTCCGCAGGGAGAGGGGGCATGCGAAGATCTTTGGTGCTTTCACCGGAGAACCCGGGTATGTAAAACGACATAGGCCCCCGCCTGCCCCAAGCATCAGAGCTCACAGAAAAGTTCGGGGGCTCTTGCCCCGCTCTGCCTGCTGTAGCACGAGTGCCTCCTCAGGGATCTCCTCAGGAGGAGAATTCCAGGACTCCTGGTGGGCATGTGCCTGTTGATAGTGGACTCGTTCGTAGAGTCTGCTGGGATATCACGAAAGTCAGAGACAGTTTGTAGTACTTCAGAAGAAACATTGATTCGTGTCAGTCCTGATTTAAGCCCAGTGGTTGGATGGGCCCTGACGAAATCCACTACTGGCGGAATCGCTTGGCTGTTGAAGTTGCTGTTTGCTTTTGGTCTCTGATCGTTCACGGCCCATTCGACAGCCCAGCCTCTGGCGGCAGGAGTACAGCTTTCCAAGCAGCAGCACATAAGTTCCAAGTCACCGCACATCAGCTTGAGGAAACGATTCCCATGGGTATGACGAAGCCAAAAAAACAAGCTGCTGTGTGGCGTGCACTTCCGTGTGGCGGTGAGAGATCCAAGAATCCATGGCCTCAGCGCATGTGCGGCCAAGGCCGCACCGCCTGCAAACCCGAAGTCACCACGGAGCTCTCCAGGGCGCAGAGACCCTACGCATGAATCCTTTCAGCTTCGTCCTCAATTGCCGGAAACGTTCAGGTCACTCAAGCGATGCCGGTTTATACAGCAAGAATAGCTCAAAACGGGGTGGTAACCGAGTAGTAATTAATGACGGACATTGAACCGCCGGGAGCAGGAGATGCTGGAGCACCAGAGCAGTAGAATAGCTTTGGCATTGGAGATGCATGGAGATGCTCTGCAGAAAAAGTTCGGGACAGAAGTTTTGGGAAGGTTTGTGGGCATGCCCCTGCAGCACGGATAAAAGCGGACGGCTGACGGCATCTTCGTAGCCTGAAGAACCGTGATAGCCTTCGTGTTTTGATGTCGTCGTCTTCCGTCTCTGGCAGCGCGGCCACTTGGTGGAAAAGGCAGCTCGAAGCCTTGTGGAGTGGGCGGTGGTCTGAAGTTCCCAGCGATAGAGGGGTAGGGGTCAGCCTTAATTGACCTCCGACGGTTCCTCCAAGTTGGACATCTGACGACTGCTACCAGCGATGCGCACCATTCACCAAAGCAAGTCGTTGCTGGACTCGGAGCGTCGGAGCGTGAAAATGCCTGCAGCTCTACTGAAGCACCACGATGGGTGGCTCAGGCTGCCGCAGCCTGTGCACCTCAGGCTGCTGTGCTGAAGTCGTGGCAGGTTCCAGTTCTCACTACACTTTGAGCCACGGAGCGAACATGGAGGTCTTTGTCAAACAGGCTACCCGCCAAGAGTGCATGGGGGCAAGCTTGGAGCTTGGTGCGCTGCATTTGGTGCAGGCGTGCTGGTTGCTTCGGGTCGGAGTACGGACGGCAGGATCCAAGCGGTGAAAGCTCCGAGTATCTTCGTGTTCTGCAGTCTTCCGTGGCACAGGACGTTGCCTCTGACATGCCGATGGCTTCGACGTATCGGCACGGCTCCTACAAGCGCTCGTGGGTCCTGGGAGGGATGTGTAGGGCCCGTACCATGTAACAGTTGCATGTGCGTGTGAATGCTAGAAGTATTCCAAACATCCACAGCGTCATTATATGCGCATGTCTCAAGTGTGGCAATGCATACTGGCGGCTTGGCTGCAGCATGGAATCATCTCGGTTTTTCGCAGCATAGGCTCTCACACCGTTGAAATTCCGGGCATCTCGTCCTCCATGCCGGCAGCTGAGTTTCCCGTCGATTGGCATTCGGCAACAATGAAGGTCACGCAGATCTGAACGCTACGAGGTACCACGCATCTGCAGACGACGTGGGAATGGGGCTTAGATTTGAACATGCAGTGTTTTGATACTCTGCAGTTACATTTTCCAGCAATTGCAGAGTGCCCACTAAGGCATGCAGATTATCTGCCTCGCGGAGGCCGAGCAGAATCGCAGTGCCTTTGGTGTTGCCGGACTCTCACAGCACGCGGCACGGGGCAAGAGCCGCACAGCCGGGCCAAGCTCTGAGGCCCAGTCCTGCATCGGGCCCTTCGAGTTGGATCCCATCACTCGCATGAGTCTGGAGCGACCGGCTCTGACGGGCTTGGACGCGGCCGGACTAGAGTCTAGAGCCCAGAACGCCCTGTGTCGCGAGGAGAACATCGTTTCCTCCGGGGCAAGCCGCTTTCCGGCTGGGATCTCACTGCACGTGCTGAGATCCGTGTCTCCCTCGCCATGGGCCTCGAATTGCCATCGTTGACAGTCGTCTCGTTCCTCACGGATGGGATGGTTGGGCTTGATTGGATTCCTTGTATTCTACTGGTCGAGGTGCGACACTTCAGGGACCAGAACGATCCGCATCCGCCAGGGGCCAAGTTTGGAAACACAGGGGGTGTCAGGAGACTGAGTCGGCGAGGGCTGTCAATTCCTTTCTGAACAGGCTGGAAGGTTTTGCCTAATTGCTTTTGTGCATCTTCAGCTGCGTCCCTAAGGCGCGATCTGCAGATCCATGTAACGCAGGACTGCAGTGAAGCCACAAAGACCAGCCTCTCCGTCTTTGAAGCGGCGGTGTGAGGACCACGTGAAAGTCGTGCATCCCGGAGCCGAGAGAGGAAGCAATGAGGTGCCGATGAAATACATGAGAAATCTTAGAGCCGAAGAGCCGAAGAGCCGTGCCTTCTAGTTTAGGGAAGCGTACACTCGCGCATGAGTGTGTACGACTTGTGTACGTCTTCGGCAGCAGGTCATGGCGCCTTATTCTGCCGACTTCCCCAAGGCTGCGGAGGGCACTGAGATGCACTGAGTGGAGTGCCTGCCCCCACAGCTCTGTGAGGTGATCATCCATCCAACCGACACTTGCAAGTTCCGGCTGGAGCTCAGCGAAGAGCAGGCCGAGACGCCGAAGACAACTACGCGTCTGCGTTGCGGCATTGCGGAGCCATGATGCGGAGCCGAGCCAGGACAAAGTCTTCCACTTCGTGGCCTTGTCCAGGCTGGGTCGGGGCTGAAGATAGGCAGTCACGCAGGTAGCTCCACAACGCAGCGGTTTCTTTCCCAAAAGTGCTAAGACTTAGACTGCTAAGGCTGTCCAGGGCTGACTCCTGCATAATCCTCGAAAGACCGCAAGGACGTCTCGGGATCTGATCGCGCTGCTCATCAGAACGTTTCATGCCCGACCCATAACTTGAATGCTGTACCAGGTTTCACAAGACATTCCGGACTCACAAAAGAGTCCAAGGAACTACTTTTGACTTCAAGCCCGCCTGCGACTTTTGGGCCATGCCCGCTGACGTGTTCCTTGCTATGCTTAGGCTCGACAGTATGTGGCGACGTCCTTCGTGCTGAGTAGGCACAGCAACTGGGGTCTTCATTGCTTCAGTGGCATCGGGCTTGCCAAAGTGCTTCCGTCATAAGTCTTCATCTCCCCCTAATGCTGGCCCAGGCTTTATCAAGATCCCGCACGGCCAGGAGCCGGATCCCCAAGTTCCGGGTAGGCCCTCGTCGCGATTGTGTGCTAGGGCCGTAGATGATGTTGCTGAAGTGCCGGGTTGAAAACATGTGGTTCCAAGTGTCCTCGTGGTTTCTGCCTCTGAGTTCTGAGCAGTGTCGGCCAAGGCTCCGTTGACGACGGCACTCATGCAGGCCCGATCGATGAGCACAGCGCCGTAGCCGCCGTAGCCGCTGCAGCCGCAGCCGTGCATCCAAAAGGCAGTTGGCTTGCACACAGGACTTCGACCTGCAGCGGCTTGGAGACCGGCTCGGGAAGGATCACGAAAGACTCAGCGCACGAGAAGAATCAGGTAGAGCAGGGCGGTTCGTGCCAGAAACCGGCTCAAACACCAGTTGCCTGAACCATTCTGTGAAATCTGGGTGATCCTCGCATTTGTCCTCAGGAGCTGGACCGAACCGTCGGTCAGCTGGAAGCAGTCGAGCTGCGCAGGGCACGCTTAAGCCGCGTGCGGGTTTCGTGACAGAAGGGAACTCGTGCCAGGGACAAGAGAAACACGGAAACATGTTGGCATCCGTCTCATCACGACCCGGCCTCGGCCAGGAGGGTGGTCCGCACCTCCAACAACGAGAAGAGGGAGCTGCAGGCCAGGCGTTTTCATGTCTCAGAGTCGGTTGGGAATGTCTGCAGACTGCAGATCTTTGCAGATGTCTGATGATGTCTGCAGGCTCAGCTGTCCGAGACGATCGGAAGCTACACGGAGGCAGTGGTCCGAAATCCGGCCGAGCCGTTAGGTGTAATCCGGTGTTGGCCTGGGAAAGGCTATCGAGCAACTCCATCAGCAGCTGGCGCCGGCTGCCAAGGTGGGGAATGCAGCATCAGGATCGTAGTGCTCAATACTTGGCAAGACGGTCTGGCACGGTAGATGGCTGGAAGCTCAGGGTGGAATGGTAGCTGCTCTGCAGCTTCAGATTCACGACGGCCGTGTCTGGAACACAGCTTCGATCCGCCGATCTTGCGACGGCTCGATTGGGGACCTTCCAAGGCCTTGCACAGCAAGCTACAGCTGGAACTCCAGGAGCTGAGGTGCGACAGAGGGCAGCGGCGAGTGATGCAGTGATCTGAGAGCGCTCTTCGGCCTCCCGGCCTCCGGGAGGCAGCGGCTGGACGAAGAGCAGCGAGCGACAGGCGCTGACGGCTCCGCTGAGTCGCACGGACTGCGTCGCGCGCTTCGCTTCTTCGCTTCTTCGCTGCGCTGCGCGGCGGAGGCCCCTACGGCAGCGACGGCCCGGCCGCGCAGATGCGGGCCGCTGTCCCAGCCGAGAAGCGCCGGGCTGTGCCATAGCCGCCGCATCGCTTGGCCCCAGGCACGGACTGTGGAGACCTATCGGGCTGAGATCGCTAAGCTGCGGGCACAAATCAGCCGCAGCCCCAGGCAGAGAGGACGCGGCTGGATGCTTTGTGCTGGTGTGAGAGTCCCCAGCATCGCGTAGCGCTGTTCCTTTGTTGCAGGTGCACTTGCAGGGAGCGAGAAGCAGCACTCCGAACGGGACTGCCTCAGTTGCGTCAATTGAACCTTCGTGTCAGCATGACGGGTCAAGCAGTTTCCTGCACGTGTTATCCGCTCGAAATGGCAGGACTCCACGCGGGCGGAGGAGCTCCGAAGGTTACGGGGTGACGCCCTGCCCTCGGCTTTAGGCCCTTTAGGCTTGGTCGGCCTGCAGTTAGAATTTGCTCCTCGAATTCTCGACAAGCTATTGGCCTGGCATGTAATGGGCTTCGTGAGGTCGATAGCCTTAGCCGCGAAAAGGAGGGCCTGGAACGCATGGTCGCAGAGGCTTGTCTTCCTTTCGGAAGTGTTCTTGACACATGCTGGGTCACAGTGGGCCAGAGGGGGTGGCTTGAATCAGGGTGGCAAGTCCAAAGACGAGCTGATCGAGAACTTCTTGTATGCCAAGGCATGAAAGGGCTAAGCCGCTGAGCCATTATGGGGCCTTGGTCACCTTCAGTGGAGAATCTCAGTGGCCTCATTGTCAGGGCTGCCTCGACAAGCTGCAGATTGCCTCCATCACCTCGCCAGCCTGCTCTCCAGAACACGAGCGCCAGGCCTTGGGCCCAAAATGTGAGCGTAGTGGCTGCAAACTTCCATTCGCTTATCCTCTCAAGTCCTGAGAAAGGTGGCGCAACTGCGGGAGACATACAACCAGGCAGGTGGATCCGGGTCCACAGACGCTTGCTGAGCGTCTCTGTTGCCATGGTGTTTCCGTGTGACACTGCGCCACATGTCATCCCAAAGTCTGACGCGCCTAGAGGTGGTCGATGAACGAAACCGGCTGATGGTCCGGGTCGAGGTTCCTCCGCTGAGCTCCTTCTCTGTTTTGGCAGTTCGTGAACTCACGAAGTTAAAGGCAATAGCCGCCTCGGAGCCGTTTCCGAGTTCTGTTCCGTGGCCCGCCGCCAGCAGCAGGGTATGCAGACAAACAAACTATTTAAAGGCCAGGGTTTGGGATTGAGTGTTTAAGGTTCCGGTGCAGTTATGCCGCGAACTTTCACGGCGACTTTACCTGATGGAGTGTTCCTCTTGCTCGAGCTCCGGCAAAGAAGCCTAAAACCGACCCCGGGGCGTGGGTAGAAGGAATTACTTGGTTCCATGGAAGCAAATCTGACATCTCGACGCCCCGGCCTCCGGCCGCCACGGATAAAAGCCACGCAGCCAGGAAGGTGGAACATGCGCTTCACGTTCACCCGCGTTCACCACCATGATGAGGAATAAACAGTTCCCTCCGGTGTCCTTTGAGCACCACAGGTGCTGTCTGCAAACGCAGCGAGTAGCTGAGCCTGGGAGATCACGAGCTGTGAGGCTCTGGACAAAGACCGGGAGAAGCAGAAGCAGTTTCGGGAGCCGGCTTCTCAGAGATGGCGAAAAGGAGAGACCGGGGGCGTGTCGACGGCGTGGTTTGGCCCAGGTCCACCCTTGAGAAGGCTACCCAGGCGAATGCCAGGCCGAGCGGACCTGCTGCTTGGCTCTTGGCTGAACGGCTGAACGTGAGAGTTGCAGGTTGCTGGAAGAGCGGGACAAGCTTGAGAAGGCAGACATGTGCAGACCAGCGCACGGACCATCTGAGACGAAATCGCCAGGAGAAGGCACGAGTGTCGACTCTCTACCAGCAGACCATGGCCATGCTCGCCCATTCCGCTGCAAATGCGGATTACGAGGCCTGGACCGCCCGCCCTGCGGCTTCAGTGAATTAAACCGCAGTACAGAAGAGTGAGAATCTACGCTTCCTGCCAGGAGGAGGACGAAGCCGTGCTCCAGGCACATCTAGACTCGCCCCGAACGAGAGAGAGAGAGAGAGAGTAGCCATTTTGGCTCAAGTATCGCACCTTTGCTTGGGGGCTTGTGCTGCCTCCTTGCATCGGGGGGGAGCTGGGGGGTTAACCTGGACTGTTGCCCCAGGGGAGCCTTCCCAGTTGCCCCAGCGGTGCTTGAGTCGCATACCCGACGCCACTGTGCTTAAGAGGCCCTTCTTAGGACTCCACGAACGGAGCCATACCCGTCAACGGCAAGTTCGAACTTCTACTTCGAGATCCGTGACCTCTAAACTGCAAGGTCTTCACCGTGTGCACTCTCAAGCAGGGGGAGACAGTCCTCTCCACCACTGTCGTTCTTCAGTTGCCGGCCGAGCTTCGCCTACAGAACCACCTCGCTGGCCGGGGGAGTTTGTCGACCGGACGTTCGTGACTTTGGGCAAGCACGGGGACCTAGTGAAGAACAAACTACGGAAGGCCAAAAGAGCGCGGGGGAAAGACGCGCCACCAGCTAGCAGCACAACGCCGGACCCAGACACAGGACGACACGTAGCCCAGGACGATCAGTTGGACGAGGGGGAGACCAGGGTCAACTACGACAGACCGTCAAGCTCCAAGACAGCGGGGGGAAAGTACAAGAGAGCCAGCAGGCCAAGGCGACAACAGGAGTGAACCACAGACGTAAAGAGGACCTCGGTGCAAAAGGCCCGGACGGAAAAAAGAGCCGGCGGCCAGTGAGGGGAAGTACAGTCGGTGACCTTTTCGCAAGCAGGGGGACTGCCACCCTGTACTCGTTTCTGCACCGTGTCTTTTGTTCCTTGGTTGTTGTTCAAAAAAGGGGAGATCCCACTGCAACCTTTCTTCAAGCTGTTCCGGTGTAGTTGCGGCCGTAAGCCGTAAACCTCATAAGGGGAACCATGTACATTCCGTCAATAAATCCGTGCATGTTCAAACATTCCTGTGTTTCCGTGAGCATGTTGCGAGGCGTGAACTCTTTAAGCGGGCCTGTGGGCTCTTCTCGGGCAAAACACCTTCACTCAACTGGGCTGGACAGCCCTCAATATCCCAATTTCTTTTCAACGCGCCCGGTACATCTCCTTCTAGATGAATTCGGAGGACAGGAGGCTTTAATTCAATTCGTTCATTCCAGGGTATTTCAAGGTATTCCTGCTCGAAGAAGTGGGGGCATGCAAGTTTTTCCTCCTCACTCCTAGGGCTGACCGGCGCTGTTGTGCAAGCACAGTTGCTGTGTGAGTCTTGGTGGATGTAGGCTTGGCTTGCTTGGCTTGTTTTCGAAAGCACGTCAGCGGGGGATTCAGCAAACTTTACTCCTCATACAGACAGAGCCCCGAGGAGAAAATCTCTGAGGGGAAGGGACACCCCACCAATGGTCCGCGGGAGTGCGCCCGCGCACGGAGGGGTAGCCGGGACGCTGCTGCCCCTTCACGCCCCGTAGAGAGAGAGAGAGAGAGAACCTGGTAGCAGGGTCCGTCCTTGCGCCCCACACGCCCTGCAAGCAAGCAAGCAAGAACCTCACTTGTTTCGGAGTTGTTTCGTGAGCCGGGGCCTCAGTAAGACAGTCGTGTGGGGCCGGGGTGTAAGCCAGACTCGCTGCGACAGCCCGTAGTGTGTTGCTTCAAGCAGGGCGGCGGCAGAGTCCAAATACTTTGTAGGACTGAAGCCTGCTGTTGTATTGAATTTGAAGCTACGGGGAGCCAACACTGTACCACACCCACACACACACACACTCACTTGTGGAGCAACACCCACTCAGCTCGGCCCGAAGACCCAGACAAACCGGGGCGAGGCAGCACAGGGGCGGCAAACCTGCCCGGTGGGACCTCAGAGCGGCATGGACACAGCCAGTATAGCATACGTACTCTTCATAGTGCCTGGTCATTATGTGGGCACTACAATTGTCCACCATGCCGGTAGACTAGTTTGTCGCACTTAATACAGTGCTTCCAGCCAACAACGGGCTGCCCCCAGCGAGGGGTTCGCCCCTCAAGCCTGGCGAAAGAAAGAAAGAGAGATGGAGAGCGAGGGAGAGAGGGAGAGAGAGGGAGAGACAGGGAGAGAGGGAGAGAGAGGGAGAGAGAGAAACAGACTGAGAATACCAGTGCGCATTCGTGCGTGCGTGGGGGGGACTGCCCTCTACTTTGGCTGCGTGCAAGCAAGAGAGCAAGCAAGATACAGTTGCTGCATCTGTGAGTCGCGGAGGTCGAGCTTGAGGGTTGATGAAGTCTATGCCTATGCAGATGAGAGCCCGACACGCGGATAGTATGCAAGGCTTTGCGAGAAGAGGTCGCGAAGAAGCGCGAGCTCCTTCAGAAGAAGGCAGTGCAAGGGCCGTAGATGGTGTCGGAAGACGCAACGAACGCAAGTCTAGCCTCACGGTCGAAGGAGCAAGAAGGGGAGTCGCTGCGCCAGCGTCTCAAGAAGCTCGCTATGGTCGGCTGGCCAATTTGGGGGATTCTGTTGCAGAGGAAATTGCAGTTCATGTCTCGTTAGAGCTACTTCTCATCGGCGGAGTTTGGCTGCCATGAGCCACCGGCAGGTGTAGAGTTCAACCCGGAAGGCGCCTTGGACATTCGCTCAGCCGGTAAAGCTTGGCCGATTCGTTTAGCATTCGCAAGGCTTTTGTGAGAATCTACAGGCTGCTGCCGTGCTGCCCGCTCCCGTTCAAAGTGACGGGTCCTAGCTTGCAGATTCCAGATGCTGAGCCCGAGCCCATCTGAAACCCACATGTCGCATACCCTCATATTGCTTTCAATCCCTAGGGCGTAGTGTAGGGCCTAGGGGGTCTCCGTAGGAGCCAGAAACAGGCATTCTGCAGAAGCAGGAAAAAGGGGCGGGGCCGGGCCACCTGCTCTTGAAGGGCGATGTGCAACCCGTGTTCGATGTAGTGATGTAGTGTACGTGTTGTCGGCATCAGAGTAGCCAAGCGACCTCTTGCACAGAAGCTTCCAGATCCGGGAAATAGGTGCTGTTGGCATAGCCCGTCCTCCGCCTGATCGAATCATAATCTTCATCTTCTTTGTCATCAAAATTTTCTCATCGTCACTGTCATGGTCCTACTCCTGCTCATCCTTATCCTCATCCCCCGTCATCATCACCTTTTGGACCATCCATCGCCGTTGATGATGTCACAGACAGAAATGGATGGGCTCCGAAAACACTTACTGTACGCTGCTTTTGCTTTATCAGATTGCAAAAATGCGAACCATGCACAGTTCTCCCAGCAGATTACATGAACATGAGATGAGGCCTTGAGAGCGGGCCATGCGGCGGTGCGTTTTTTCGACGTTGGAGGGGATTGAGTTTTCATCCAGTCTCCTAGCCGCGAAACTGCCGCGGGCTCGCAGCCTGAAGAGACGTACAGTGGATCCGATCCGTCTGCGAGATCCGCAGGCACGGTGCAAAGTATGAGCTTTTGCCCGAACATTCCTTAAAGAAGCCTTTGTATGAGTTGCACTGTTAGCCCGAGCTCATAGGCTTGCCTGCCGAAGACATAAGTCTGAGTTTCTTTCACATCAGGTCTGGCTGTCGCTATGCCACCACCGCCAGCAGGGTCCTCAAACCAGGAAGTGGGCAGCTGATCACCTGCAAGTCTGGTGGCCTCGTAGGTGATGTTTGGAGCCAGTGCTGTTTCGGACGTCATGCAACAGTCGAGGTAGGAGAGGCATAGCATTCGGGATCCCCTGGAATCTTCAGTTCACCGTTCATCGTATTTGGCACATCCCGGCACGCCACTGCAACTTCTGCTGTCAAGACATTTGAGAAGTAGAAGTATATGTGTTAGTATTCGTATAAGCACAACTGCAATTAGAAATATACGCATAATCATGCATATAAATACTACCAAAACATGAACAAACATGTTGCTAGACATACAATTGTAGATATGACTGTAAATATAGATAAACAAACATATACATATACTATCTGTAGATGATTATGCCGCCCCCAAATAGCTACAGCGAAGTGCCACTTAGGTTTTGAAGTTCCGACCGAGTATAGAGCATATGTATATCAGCAGCCGCCTTCATTTTCCATTCCCTGCGACCCTTGCCGCAGATACTCCGAGAGATGATTTCTCCAATGATGACAGTATCCCTTAGACTAACCCTGCCATTGCCCAAAAGAGACGGCTTATAGCTCAACGCCTTAGTTCGCAGGGAACAAATGCTGTGCCGACTTGTAACCCGACTTTGCATCCCCATAGTAGCTCCCATATCAACCTGAAGGGTTAATACAGCAACATACATCAACGTGATTGGCCCCCGCGATAGGAAGGATATTGCAATCCTCATGGCAGCCCTAGTAACCTAGTATTGGATCTGACTCCAAGATGGACCTTACTCTCATCACCCATAAGCCATTCCCATTGGTAACCTTAGCAGTGTACCGAATACTTCCCTAAACAGCAACTCAAGCAATGGCCTTAGGAGAAACCCCGACCATTGGCCTCACCAACAGGTTTAATTAATCCGGATGTAGCTGTGGCATCCCTAGCATGAGCATTCAAGAGAGCGAAGTCAAAAGTCATGCCATCCCCAAGACTCGTTATTGTTAATATTGATACAGGCAATCTAAATACTGCACCAACATTTACCTCAACGGTAGCCCTCATATTCATGCTGCTAACCAACTACACAAAACGAATTCCCTCAAGAACCACGATGGTAGCTTTGTCACCCCCGGGTCTTGGAATGACTGGAGTGGAATAACATGTTGATGTCTTTGTGAGGAGTCTGTGAGAGGGTCTGTGAGTTTGGAGAGGTCTGCGAGAGGGGACTGTGAGGATCCATTGAGAAATCTGTAAGGTTGGGTGATCTGGCAGAAACTTGTGAAAGCTTGCTAATGTTTTTGTCGGACTGGGATGTGAAGAGGAAGACTGTCGTTGCCAGTTGTTTTTCGAAGATGCCCTTGGCACACGCGTTTTTCCCACTCAATCCCCCTTCCGATGCCGAATCAGCATGCCATCGTATCTAAAGACCTCATCTCACAAGGGTGTGGGGGATGACTCTGTGCTCCAAGTACTGCTTTCCTGTAGGGGGGCCTGCGCTCCTTGAGCGGAACCGAGCTGACTATGCCCTTCAAGGCGAAGGGCACGGGATGCTTCAGGGCAGCGTTTTCGATGACCTTTAACTGTGCCTGTGTGCGCAGATCGAGAACATTCCCGACTCTCTCAAGGAGGATCTTCGTTGGAGTATCAAGCAGTTAGGTGCAGAATGGGCAGGGACGGAAAGGCGCTTTGGCTTTTCGGGCTCTCGTCCTGGAGTGCCTTGCAAACAGCATATGCCTTGTCCAAATGTCCATGCCAAGTCTGCCTCTGACAAGTCTTGAGTGTTGAGGAGCCGAAAAGTCGTGTAAGTCTGTGCTGGCCAATGGCCAAAGCTGTCATCGCCGCGACAGACACCTGACTCTGTCTTGAATCTGTTCCAGGAGACACAGGAACACCTTTCAAGAAGTATGCATTTCTTCAACAAGGCGCTTTGGCTTTCATAATTTCTGCAAAGCTTTGTCACAGCCAGAGTCCGTGCCACCGATGCTTGCAGTCTTTTGAGGGGTTTCGGTCCCGGGTGGCAAGACAGATTGGGGCACCGCTGTCGTACGCTGTCCTCAGCTCCTGCCTGGGCCAGGTCAACAAAGAGTTCCAGAAGTTGCAGGTGATCCACAGTCGGCAAACACGTAGAGATTTAATGCTTTGCAGAGCGTGGACGACTTGAACTGGTTTGCATGCTTTAATTGCGATGATCTCATATCAGTTTCAGATGTAGTCGTGGATGGCTTGATGTCCATGTTCATCACGCCTCTGTTCTCGTGTCACCGTCAGGAGCAGCTGCAACAAGTGACACAAGAGCGCGATGCGCTTCGCCTGCTACCCAAACGAAACAGTGTGCTGTGCCTTCCGCTTCGGAGCCCTCTGTGCTTTCCTTTGCCGAGGGCAGCAGAACAACAGCCTCCAGCAGCAGCTCAAGCAGCTCGAGCGGAGCCTCGGCTCAGAGAGTCGTCGCAATGCTGCGAAAACCGTCCCGCTGCTACTGCTGAGGGCCAATAGCGACCAGATGGCAGTGAAACCCGTCGTTCTGAGCCTGGGCCCAGGACCAGTAGCGAACTGCGTGTCAACCGACGAGAAGTGTGTTTCGAGTGAAGAATCCAGTGCGCGGGCAACAGAACTTGCTTCGTTCCGTCTCTTGCATCCCTGGATCTCCTGAGGCCAGCCGACCGTTCTTCCAGGCGACTGGCGAGAGTGCAGAGGGGCTTCGGCCCGACCCTGATGGGCCCGAGACTGTTGCCATCCAATGCACATGCCACCCCAAGACCTTGAACAGAAGAGGGACTTCGCGCGGGTGGTTTTCGTATTGAGCCCTTACAACCTTGCCCGCATTCGCAGCACCGACTGGGGCGCCGGCGAAGCCATCCATGGCCTTGGAGAGGCAGAGCACCTGAAAAAGGAGATCATGGGATGAAGCCTTCGGGGTGACTGAACTTCGGATGTTTGTGTCGCGAAAGCTCCTTCTGTTCACCCTCGGGTCGGGATTTCTATGCCGGCATCTGCTGACTGGTGTGGAGCAGTGCAGAAATGTGTGCACAGCAAAACATGCAGTAACTTGGACAGTCTTCGCCGCAAGCACACAGTCAAGACATTTCAGGCATCTTCAGTCGAAGCAATGAGAGATCGAGAAACCTGCCTTTTCAAGCAACACGATCTGCCAGGGGCGAGCGATTCGTTATGGACAGGCTGTGGGTGCGTTGGCAGGGGGATTCTGTGGTGGAAGCGGAAGCTTCGAAGCATCTATCTTTTGCGGCGCTTCGTGGGCAGTCGTAGTTAGTTTGGGACATGTTTTTTTTGACCTGTTCAGGCATCACTCCAACCTTCACAAGGCTCCAGTCCATAGTGTGGCAATGAGTCAGACGCTCGGAGCAGGGGTTGCCCTGGGCCCTAGGCAGCAGAAAGGTCCCGACTCACTCACGGCATGCCCCAGGCGAGGACTCATCGAAGGTTGTGACGGCATCCTGGGATGCCACGGTCCATGTCTTCGACCTCAACAAGCAAGCCCTCGACAAGACTGTACTGGGTTGCCAAAAGTTCTGGTTAGGCTGTAGTGTGGAGAGGTATTGTTTTGCAAAAGGAGCTGGCGCTGTGGTTGTTGTTAGCGCATGTTGGCTGGCGTGAGGACTTTGCGTAAACAGAATGAGCTGGCCTCAGTGGGTATTTAGCGCGAGCTGTTTCTTGCTGAGCCGACTGAATGCGACAGGGACGGGACGAGTTGTTACCTCCACTCTGTGTTAAGCAAGCCTCGAGTTGACACTAAGAGCGAACCCATGGGGGGCCTCTACTCCGTGGCTTTTGCGAAGACGGTGCGGAGCTTGAGTAAACTGCCGGTTAGTAGACAGTGTAGAGTGTAGACAGTTGGGCTGACGATCGTTCAGGTTCAGGGTCTGCTGGGACTCCGTTTGAAGATATCCTTGGACAGTGATGGAGTGTGGCGGATTGTGTCTAAAGCCAAGCGGCTCCATGACAACAGATGATGGGTCGTGCAGCGGCTGCCAGGC